CTCTACATTAGTCTATATAAAATTATATTCACTTTGATATTATTGTGTAATTATTTGCTACATATAAATAGATATATCAAACTCTCACTTAAATAAATTGTTTCCTTCACTAATCAATGTGATAAAATATATTATACCAATCATGTTATATGTGAAATAGATTATTACTGGTCCCTCAATTACTTAATATTTATTGCCTGAATATATTCTTTATTTTATTATTACATAAAAATATTTGTTATAATTATTTAAGTTATTTCTACAAAATTTAACGAAAATGACCACAATCCATAATTACCAATCACCAATAATAGTAATACAGGCACAGATACAGTGTAGGCATGTAGGCATTAAGGGTTATAAGTTATAACAATATATTTGAATGTAATATTAAAATTATTTAAATTTAATTAAGTTATGGTATTATATATTATTTTCTTAATTCAAATCTAGTTTTAATGGAATTCATATAAATAAGAAAATTACTGAATTTTGATTACATTACTTATACCAGAATGCTAGAAAACTAATAATTTTAAAAGTTTAATAATCATATTATTAACACATTATAGCTTTTTTACACTGTAATGAATGGTGTAATCTAATGTATATTTGTGATCAAATTAACAAAATAGTAAAAATAACCATGCCTCTTTGTGCATAATGTGCATAAAGTAAATATTTGTTGTTAACAGTTAATTAAAAGTAAAAATTAAATTTACGGTTAACAAAAATATTTGAATTTGCTCATAAAATATTTGCATTCATTCATTGTTTATTGACTAAATAGTGCGGACGACTACACCCGGGGTTATATGAACTCGCGGGCCATTATAGAGCCCAATGGAAACGTGTTTTGGCCGCCGCCCACCAAATTCAGGTCCACGTGTTCAGTAGATGTCACGTACTTTCCATTCGACGACCAAACGTGCAAATTAAAACTCGGATCATGGATATACGATGGCCTACAGGTATAAACTACTTTCTCTCTCTCTCTCTCTCTCTC